CAGCTCATTCCTTAAATGTCAACAGCAGCCATTCTTTCCTCAAAATGAACCTTGGCTTCCAAGAGCTTATTTGAACTCTCTCTTCCGCACACATCAGCAATGTGAAGCATCTCTTCTGGCTCTAGTCTCTCGCCGCTTTGGCAGATTCTCTCTTCAAGCTCTCTACTTCTGCTTTGTCTTCGCCGATCCCCTCTCACTACCTCGTGCATACCTGTTCAATAATCTCTCTCGATCTCCTCTCACTCTCGATGCTCTAACTTGCCTTTGCTAGAGTGGCCCTTGATGTTGGCTTAACTCCAATCAAGTTCTTGTTGAGCCTCGCTCTTCTTTCTTGATTTCTTTCTGAATTCGAACTTCTTCCATGATGAGTGGACAACGGTTTTGATTCTTTCCTCTCTTGATCTTCCACATATTGATTCTCTTCCATGAATGTTTTTGAGGCAGTGACTCATTGTGGTCTAACTCTTTGCCTCTTGGATTGAGTGAATCTAGCTGAGATCGAGCACGATCAATTCAAATCGGGAGGCTGAGAAAAGAGAGATGCTATATGATGCTGATTTTTACCAGTACAAGATCCGCTCTGAGGAGTTTCAGCAAGTTCTTTGAAATGGAATCTGTATTTTCTTTAGGTCTTTCAAGCGGGCTTTCATTGATGGAGATTGAAAAAGGGGGCCTTTTTTTTCCGGGTGTGAGTCTGCGGATGTGATCAATCTGAAGCGCGGTAAACACAAAGGCAAGGATAATTGCAAAGTTCAAATGTTTACTCTATCCATAACCATTACATTATATCTACATACAACTAGGAACATAAAAAAAAAGAAATGATAGAGTATATAAATACCTGTATTCAAACATAATAAATTTATTTCTTGTACATATGATTAAAACATGAATATTGTCCGCGTGATCTGTAACGCAAACACGGTATGGTTAAGAATTACATTTATCTTTCACCAATATTAAATAATAATAATAAGGAAGCTCTAAAAAAAAAATTCAGATGATTTTTTTATCTAACAAAACTTCACTTGAGACCCAAGGAAATGTACGTAACTATCCAAGCAATCATGATCCACTTATTAATGTTGCCCACCAAAGGATATTCAAGCCTTGAATCAATGCAAAAACTTCCATGTTACCAACTTTCATTACTATCTAAAGATCATTCTCCCTCAATTCCCTATGGTTGTTCCATTTCGATTAATTAATGCAATAATTGTACCTCTGCTCAAATTCAGCAAGAAACTATACAACGTGCTCGTCCTCTCAATGTTCTCCTGCATCTAGCATGAGTTGTTAGCAAGATCACAGGAAATCACAAATTCCATTGACTCATACCTCCAGTGATTTCCAGAAGCCACCTGAGAACTGCTTCACTTTTGGCAAATAAACCACATGCAAAAAGTATAGGGTATCACCACAAGACTTTCCATGTGTCAATCTGTAGCATGGGTCTTGCATTTGTGTAGAAATTTAAAACGCAAAAGCGTCACATGACACTATTGCTACCACAATGTGATGCCAAAACAAAGTGCTAAAAGGCTACCAAAATACAACTTAACACCATTGATGTTGTTCTGCATGACTTATGCATGTACAGCAATTAGCAGCTCTAGCAGGATTTTGATCGCACCAAATCTAAACATGTGTTTCTTTGCAATTTAAAATTGTTTATTACTTTAGCCCCAAAAAGCATACAAAATTAAATTCCTGTTTAAAGTAAAGGAAATTAATATCTGCACGCCAAGAACGAGCGCGTGCGCCAATGTAAGCCGATGTTCACGGAGTACGGACACATGTTTTGCCTCAAAGCACTCCAAAAAATGACAAGTCATTTTTACACTCGACCATCCCAGACCCGTTACTATTAACTCATCCAAACTTTTTTTAGTTCTCGATGTCGAATAATGAGTTAGAGGATCACAAAATCATGACTTCTTCATACACAGTGGCGCAGAGCAATCAACAAAGGCAGCAAACAAACTAGATACTTCCATTAAATGCCCTCTCTATTTCTAGAAAAATCTTCATAGCCAGTAAATGGGCGTACCTATCTTTAATAACCATTAGGCAGTTAACGATCCCATGTAGCAAGCTAGACATGATAACAGATTCAAACTAAGTCACTATCAATGCTCTATTTTCAAGTAGAGTAAAAATTGCGCCCCCCCCCCCCCCAAGCGTCGGACAAAGGGTTATCTTGCCAATAGTCCTTATTCAAAATTGCAAACGTCAATGGCAAAATTTGCTAATAAACGATTTAGGATGATAAAGTGCTACTGAAGCATAGATGGGATAGATGCTGTCCTTTGTTTTTTTGGTACAAACTTATTAAAAGATGCTCCTCACAGATGATCGCTCTATGCTAACAACTTTACATCAAAATTACAACCATAACTTCATCTTTGCGAGTCATGCTAGTAATCACTTAACACACACATGCCATATTCATAATCTAGATACTAGCGGCTAGGTTTTCATTTTCAGATACATACATAAAGTCATTGACGAAAAGAGTTATTGCGTCATACACGAAAAAAAAAAATAATAAGCCACTAAACTTCCAGTATGAAGAAACGAATGTGACATCTAGTAACTCACATTATATATAATTACCATACAAATTTCAATGCCTTAGCCCTAACTCTTTACTATCTTTCTTCCTTCTTTTTCTTCTAGCATTGACGT